CGGGATCTCGCACCTGCTTGCGAATGAAGTTATCGACCCGTAGATATTGAGCCAAAGATAACGAAGAATCGCGACTAACCACCACCGTCTAGCTCAGCGCGGCAGGGGACGGGGTGGAGGAGGGAGGGAGGTACCGTGGTCAGTCGCCTGCGTTTAACCAGGAGAGAGAGAGAGAGAGCCCGTTGACACAAATGGGATTAAACTCATGTGTCTGTGGAAAAATCACTGTCCGCCAGCATTTGGTGAGTAGGCAACGAATGATATCGCTGTGATGAATGTTGCTGAATTGTCAGGGGGTTGTTTGTCCCCCCCCACTCCCCACCCACGGCAATTTTAAACTGCTGATTTTTTTGTTACAACCAAGCGCACCAAATCGGGGCCGCGAGCATCGCTTCGTGAAGGGAAGCGCTGCGCAACGATCGTGAACACACAAAATATTTTTTTTAAATAGATGCAGCGAATGGGCAAAATGGTGTCGACAGAATTCTGTTGCAATTTTTTCTGCGAAGTACAAACTCGTGCCAACCCAGAGACGAGCCCCCCCCCCCCCCCCAGCACATCCGTGATTACAACCCGCGGTGGCTGCCAACGTCCACTAATGAAGGGGCCTAGGCCCGTGCCTTTGCAGAAGCCACTATCTGCGACAACAACAACATCATAGCTAAAAGTTAACTTCCTCTGCCTTCTGCAAGATGCCGCACCCATACCCCCCGTAAAATTTGGCGTAAAAGTGTATTTTCTGTCTTCTTGGTTCTTTCGGTAAAGTCACGTAGAATGGAAATAAAAAAATAAAAAAAATAAAACATAATTAAATAATTCTCACGACGTTTCGGCCACAACGCAAGCAGCCGAAAGAACCAAGAAGATGAATCCCTGCAGTCACGAAAGCTTTAAATCGTGTATTTTCTGGTCAATACATATCAGAATCAGAATATATTTCCATACTAGAGCAATCCGATGAGCTATAATGCTTATTTTTTCCACAGATATCCAGTAGATAAATCGACCCACGAAATATCACGGTTACTGCGTACAGAATTGTGCCATGTTGAAACATTTACATTTAGGAAAATACCCCATTCATAACATAATAATGAATAAAATGTACAGCACTTTGCCAATCCCTAGCTGGATAATGGACTTCCCCTGTAGGCTTAGGCTTTGTTGGTCATAGGGGTGGGGGTGGGGGTTCGGTGGGTGGTTGGTTGGTGTAGCTCAGGAGCATCTCCACTCACTCCTCGTTTATCCGTGGGCCTCGAATCGAACCCGGGGGCTTCGCTGGACCTCGGGGCCGCAATGCCACCAACCGCTGCGCCTTCCTCTCACGTGGCCACCAGATGAGAGCCGATCGAGACGGACCTGGATTTTTGTTGTTGTTGTTGTTGCGAGGGAGACCTGGGAGGGTGATTCGTTCGTGGGAAGTGAACGCAGAGCGCGGCTGTGAAGCGGGACACTGCGCGCAAAACGGTCGCAATTTCAGCACCGTCTCAGTGGCGAGGCCACCTCAGCCAATCGGTTGCCACACAGGGATCGACCACTGCTTGCTCGACACTCCTGCCTGGTACCACAACCATCAACCACTACCACCACTACTACAACAACAATCTTGCATGGCATCACAACCATCAACCACTACCACCACTACTACAACAACAATCTTGCCTGGCACCACAACCATCACCACTCCCACCACTACTACAACAATCTTGCCTGGCACCACAACCATCAACCACTACCACCACTACTACAACAACAATCTTGCCTGGCACCACAACCATCACCACTCCCACCACTACTACAACAATCTTGCCTGGTACCACAACCATCACCACGACCCCCACTGATACAACAACAATCTTGCCTGGCACCACAACCATCAACCACGACCACCACTACTACAACAACAATCTTGCCTGGCACCACAACCATCATCCACGACCACCACTACTACAACAACAATCTTGCCTGGCACCACAACCATCACCACTACCACCACTACTACAACAACAATCTTGCATAGCACCACAAGCATCACCACTACCACCACTACTACAACAACAATCTTGCCTGGCACCACAACCATCAACCACTACCACCACTACTACAACAACAATCCTGCTTGGCACGACAACCATCAACCACTACCACCACTACTACAACAACAATCTTGCATGGCACCACAACCATCAACCACTACCACCACTACTACAACAACAATCTTGCCTGACATCACAACCATCAACCACTACCACCACTACTACAACAACAATCTTGCCTGGCACCACAGACATCAACCACTACCACCTCTACTACAACAACAATCCTGCCTGGCACCACAACCATCACCACTACCACCACTACTACAACAACAATCTTGCATGGCACCACAACCATCACCACGACCACCACTACTACAACAACAATCCTGCCTGGCACCACAACCATCACCACTACCACCACTACTACAACAACAATCTTGCCTGGCATCACAACCATCAACCACTACCACCACTACTACAACAACAATCCTGCCTGGCACCACTACCAAAGACAAAGATTCCCCGTATAGCCTTAACGGACTATAGGGGCAAGTGCTATTAGCGAAACCTATAAAGGCCGCCTTTGTCTCCCTAGTAGCGATGTTTACACATCGCACCAGCTTTCTCATTTGATGCCGAGTCGACCTAGAGGAGGCCCATGACCGGTTCAGATAATCGTCACTGGTGGTGTTGGCCGTGAGCGAGAATCGAATTCGGGTCGCCGAGTTCGTGGGGCAGCTCACGAACCGCGACACCACCGCCGTCCTCCCTGCTAAACGACACCTCACAGTACCACCACCACCACAACCACCACGAGAACAAATCTAACTACAGCCACTATAACAAGCACCACTACAATGACCTTGACAGCAATTACTAGAACAACAACAACAATCACTACACTACAACAGACGTGCTTGACACTGCAACAACTATCACCGTAACGAACATTTCTATAGCAACAATCACTACAACAACCATCACTATAGCAACAATCACTACAACAACCATCACTATAGCAACAATCACTACAACAACCATCACTATAGCAACAATCGCTATAGCAACAATCCTGCTTGGCACTGCAGGTTGGAGCACGCCCATCACGGTGGTGATGATGATGATGTCATTTCTGCCTTAAATTCTCAATGAAATCTCACGTCTCCTTTTTGAATAGGGCACTGCTTCATTATGGCGATGTTTGGCCAATAATATAAAAAAAGGAATGTCAGTAAGTTTTTTATTGCAGGAAACCGGAGAACCCTGGGGGACCCCCACCCAGGCATACGAGAGGGCAACACACACACAGCTCCGCACAGACAGATTCAATAATCCACTGTTGTCCTTTCATCTGGCCGCATCGCAGCCGAGGCCTGGAACAGCAGTCACTCACGCAAGCACTCACCAGGCTCAAAATCCTGCCGCTGATCTTCCCAGATCTGATGAGATTTGGGCTGATTTACTAGAAATGACAAAACAAAGCAGCATTCCATCGGCCAGGGCAACGCCCACCCTGAAGACTGTGAGGCCACACTTCGAATCACCTCTGCTCAAGGTCAGCGGTCTGATGTGCCCTGTGACCCAATGACTTTGCCACCACCCCCCCCCCCCCTCTCACACCGCTCCCCCCCAAAACTCTCGCCCCCTTTCTCCATAGCCCAGAGTCCTGCCGGGGGGCTTTGGACCCCAGTAGCAGTTGCAGCGCCTTCACACGCGACATCTACCCACATACACGAGGACACGCAGGAGACCACGCGTGGGCCGACTGCTGGAGTGGCTCGGGGGGGGGGGGGGGGGGAGGCCACGTGCGTTAAATGGAACTCGTCACCACGGCCTGTGGTGCGAGACGCCGCGGAGACGCGATGAGGATGCGGGCTCAGTGAAGTGGCCAGAAATGAGAAGATCGGCTGCTTCGAGTGGTACTCGACTTCACCAACCCGTCGTTGTTGTTGCTGCTGCTGCTGCTGTTGTTGTTGTTAAATGAGGGCTAAAGCGAGCTACTGCGTTTCTCAAAGCGTTGCACAGAAATGCGACTCGTGCCCGTCTGAATGAGAGAGGTTTTTAAAAGAGATATCTTTCTGTTCATCTTTTTTTCTTTTTCTTCTCCGGTTGTGCTATCGGTGTCATGGCACGAGACGAATAACGGTGGGACCGTGTCCTGCGTTCGGAGAAAATGCCCGCGGAAGGCGATGTCACAGAAACACGACCGATCTCCCCTGCTAGACGACATCTCGCGCACACAAGGGGGCGCCGCGCTCTCCAATGCGCCCTGCGATGGAGCAGACCGATGGATCGATATTCCTTCCGTGGAAGACGAACCGAATGGTAACTGCTTTATTCTATGAAGTAAACAAAAAACAAACAACCCGAATGTGTGATTAGTTGTTCGCGGTCATGGCTGGCCGGACACGGGACCGTCTCAAACTCGCTCGACTTGAACAATTCGGTTTAATCCGGGGGCGACTGAGATTCGGGATTCGAGCCGAGGATCTCAGCGGCTCAGCGGTCTTTCGAACAGCCAGAGCCACCTCAGAGTTGATGCTTTGTGTTGTTGTTGTTAAATAAGTCAACGAAAATGGCACAACAAGAACCGCGCAACATCGTTCCGTGTGAAAGAACCACAACGCGATCTGTTCGTAGCAAAGCAAAGCAATTTCTTTTTTAAATTAACACAATCACCACCGCTTCTTCACAACAAAGAAACAGCAACAATAACAAACACAACAGCCCGACGTTTCTCGGGCGATGGCCCATTTTCAGAGGAGACATGAGGAAGAGAGACACCGCAGCAAGTTTGAATGACTTGTGTGCACTGTACGTTGTATGCACGGGGGTGCGGTGCAGAGGGCGTGGGGTGGTGTTAGACAACAACCTAAACACACAACAACAACACACACGAAGGGCCATACCCAAACGCACACCTCGCGCAATCCCTCGCTGCACTCAAACAGCGGCGCTCACCTCCACGCGAGTCCCAGCTGCAGCAGATGCACCACGCTCTGGAACACCCACACCAGGCCTCGGTAGCACCGCTCCCCCGCGCTCGCCGTTCCAGCCGACCCCGCCGACCCCGCCGCCGCCGTGGTTAGCGGCGGCGGGGGTGGCGGCGCCGCTGTTCCCACCGCCTCCCCGCCACCGGCCGCCACCGCCACCGCCGGCCCGGCCGCTGCCCCGTCCGCGCCGGGCACCGCTCCGCACCGACCGACGGCGGTCGCGCTGCCGGTCGCCCCGAGGCGAAAGTCCTGGGCGAACCATCGCAAGCTGAACGCCTGCACCACCAGCGAGGGAGCCAGGGCGAAGAAGAGCGTGAGGCCGAACCACCAGTACTGCCGGCTCGCCAGGTACTCGGCCGAGAGCCACGCGTCCGTGCCCGAGTCGAGCAGCAGAGTGAGCAGGCCGCAGAGGCCCCACGCCAGGTCGGCCGCCGAGTAGGGCACGGGGCTGGGCGGCAGCCCCGAGCGCGGGGCGCAGCAGCCGCAGCAGCCGGCCGGGCCGGCCCCGTGAGCCCCGTGAGCTCCGCCCTCCGCCTTGTCGGAGCGCGCGGGTCCCGCGGGTCCCACGGCGGCGGCTTCGGCAGCCGCGGGGTCCGCGGGCAGCACCACGGACAGCGCCAGCGCGCCGGGGTCCGCGTTGGGAGGGCACGGCCCGGAGAGCCCGTCCGACTTGGCGGCCATGGTCAAGGGCAGGTGGTCTATCATCGGCGCTGGGCGGGCTGCTGGGCAAGGCGGCGGTGGCGGCGGATTACTACTTTTGGGTCGTGAGAAGCCGTGGAGGATTCCGATGGCGTCGATGGCGGTGATTTCTTGGTTGGCGCCGTGAGATTCTATCTAGGAGGCTAGTGGGAGGGAGGGTGGTGGTTGGCGGCGGTGGTGGCGGTGTGGACTCGTGGGTGGGTGGGGGGTGGAGGGGGAACCTGGAACCCGTCGCGGCTCCCTGCCTCTGCAGTCCAACACCCCCTGGCGCTACCGCACGCGCTGCTGCTGCTGCTGCGCCGCCCGCCCTGTGTGGACGCCCGCCGCGTCGGTCCTGCGGCCGCCGGCGGCGATGGGCATGGCGGGTCGGGCGGGCAGAGGCGGGCGGTGGCAAAGACAGAGGCGGACGAAGAAGGCAAAACCACCCCCACGAGCGCCGTCAATAGGAAGGAGGGAGCACGCGGGTCCCAGGAGTCGCAGCGAGAGCCGTTACCCAGCGGCGCCGGCGGCGTTGCCAGCAGATGGGGCAGCCTCAACGCACCAGCAGCGGCGGCAGTGCCAGCACCAGCAGCATGACGGTCGGAGTCACAGCTCACACACCCCACCAGTAAACCAGTAAACCGGCACCAGCAGACTAGGCAGGAGCAGCTAAACCAACACTAGCAGCAGAGGCGGCAGCAGCGGATCACGATGTTACACGCGCGGTCGGTGAGATTGTCAGGAGGAGCCGGATGCAGAGGATGGAGTGGCCGATCGAGGAGCCGGAGCAGATGAGGTCCCCGTAGCTCAGTCGAGGGACGTCATCAAGTCCTCTGTGGGCCTGACCAAGAGGTCCCACAGACCCCTCAGCCTCATCCCCTCCATCACTTCGTGTCCCACGCGGGTCTCCATGCGCAGCCCAAAGCCAGAGAGAGAGAGAGAGGCTCGGAGCGAAGGGAACCAATGAGTGGATGAATAAGTGAACACGGGCTCGGAGCTAGGCGCCCGCTGGCAAACAAAGAGTATATTTCAAATCAGCAGGGTCATTGCTCGCTGGATATCTCGCCGGCTCCGCAGTGGAGGTGACAATGGGGCGATGACGATGATGTCGGTGGTGGTGGTGGTGATGATGATGATGATGGGTCGGGGGTCTTGGTTGAGGGTGCAGCGAGCGACTGGGTTGGCGCTGTGAACCGAGGTCGCCGAATTCTGGGCGAGGATTGGTGAGCGCAGAGATCATGCATGGAGCCAGAGGTCTCTACGGGGGGCATACAAAGCCCATTGCATTCACTGGCAAATAAGCAAAATCATCATCATGATAATAATAACAACAACGGTGAAGGTAATTACAATGCACGTGCATGCACAGGCACAAATATTTATATAAAAATGAGGACGATTGAAAAACTAATCATCTTACTGAAATGATAATAATCTTAAAACCGACGCTGTGGATTTAATACATGTAGCATTATTAAATATTTAATACGGCAGCGTTATTAAATATATATTGATATTTCTACCACTGCATATGACCCATAAAACACGTTACAAATTAACGGCAAAAAAACCCAGATGAATGCAAAGAATGAATAATTGCATGAATTGATTGAAGAATGAATGACACCACCGGGATCTGTTTCGTCTCGTTCCTTCGCTTCGGTCCTTCCGTCGCTTTTCACCGCCAGCTCTGGGCGCTTTGCTCGTCCGTGTCGGCCCGACCTCCCTCTCCGCCCGATCTCCCTTTCAGCCCGATCTCCCTCTCAGCCCGATCTCCCTCTCAGTCTGATCTCTCTCTCTCCGCTCGATCTCCGTCTGCGGGTATCAGGCAGGGTGTGGCCTTGACGCCGCCGAGAGGAGCGAACCCGCGTTACGAATCGAAGGGCGCTCTCTCCTTCCTCCCCCCTCTCTCTCTCTCTCCCTCTCACTGTGCCTACCTCCTCGCCACCTCTCTTATATGTCGCTCTCCGTTCCCTGAATCTCGTCGTGCTCCCTGTATCTCCCTCCAATCACTCTCCAATCGCTTCCCCAACCACCCCCAACCCACCCACCCACCCCCCTCTCTCTCTCCAACCTCTCTCCTCCTCGATCCTCCGTTCCGCTCTCTCCCCTCCCTCCGAATGTCGTCTCTCTCCTCTTCCTTCTGCTGCTCCTTCCGCTGCCGCTACCGCTATGCCGCCGTCTCTCTCTCTCTGTGTCTCCTCCTCTTTCTGTTCGCTCTTCCTTTCTCTCCCCTCTCTCGACTGCTGCTCGCACGCACGCACGGCTCGCTCGCTCAGCCGAGGGAAGTGCATGCCCAACCGGTCAGAAAATATATTGCAGACGAAATCACGAATCCCCTCCCCACCCACCACCACCCAACACCACCACGTCAGGATCTCTCCTCTCTGCGTGTGTGCAACACGCGCAGGGGTTAATTCGCAAAGTTGTGGTGGGCACTGATAATTTGCTCACGCGGGGAAGAGACACAGACACAGGCCTAGATGAAGACAGAGTCAGAGATACAGACAAAGAGAAAGACAAAGACTCCCCCCCCCGTATAGCCTTAACAGACTGTTGGGGCAAGTGCTGTTAGCGAGTAGCACCGATGAAGGCCGGCACGGCGCACGAGGGGGTGGGTGGCCAGCAACACACCCGGTCGCCTTTGTATCCCTCGTGGCGATGATTACACACCGCGCCAGGTACTAATGTGAGGCTGAGTCGACCTCGGGGAAGGCCCAGGACCGGTTCAGATAATCGTCACCGGTGTTGGCCGTGAGTGGGAATCGAACCCGGGTGGCCACAGCATGGTAACCGCTACACTACCGCTCCTCACCGGATAAAGATAGACACAGAGATACAGACAAAGCGAAATACAGACACAGACAAACACACCCGTGCAGAGAGAGAGAGAGACGAAGGGAACAAACAAAAAAACCCACACAGTGTAATTGGCATTGGCCAAGCATCGCAATGCTGCAACATTCCCTGCAAGTGACTCAATCAGCAGCAGCAACAACATCGCGCCCCTACTGCGAGAACTTGGCAGGGTCCTCCTGAACACGAGTCTTGAGACTCAGGCGAGGCTTTTCTGGGCAAACGAACGTAAAACAAAAAATGGTGTTAATAGACAGACAGACGCAGTGAAACACGGAGATGCATAGAGAGAGAGAGAAAGATCGATAGACGTAGTGCAATATCATCATACGAAGAGAGACAGGCACAGATACGACGAGAGATAAAGAGAGAGACAAAGAGAGACCCGCACGGAGTAACACAGACATGCAAAGAGAGATAGACACAAATCAACATCGAGAGAGAGAGAAATCAAGGGAGAGTTAGAGAGACATCGAGTGAAGCAGAGTCAGAGAGACGTGCACAGTGATCCGAAGCCAAACGTGGCATTTCCAGATGACTGTGGCAGGAGCCAGGATGTTTACAGGACGACCGCTGTTGACGTCGTGAAATCGTGAGATTCGTCTCAACGATGACGACGATGACGACGGCCCCGAAGTCACGAATTTTAAAGAGTCGACGCCCAATAAATAAACGCACCACTCATTATCAGCCATGCTCTACCCGCTGCTAGATGGAGGCCTCCCCAATCCACCGATAGCCCCTGCACGTGAGATGATGTCATCGCTCTCTCTCTCTCTCCACAGATACATCAAGAGAAGGCGAGAGAGACAACGAGAGAGACACACACACACAGAGAGAGACGTGCCAAAGAGAGACAGACAGAGAAACGAAGAGTGAGCGAGACACGGACAAGAACAGAGCCAAATTTGAGACGGAGAAGGGAGCAACATGGACACAGACCCACAGTCATCACTCCTTGCACCAGCCTCCCCCACCCCCCGCGTTGGTAAATCCTTCCCTGGAGCATTGGGTCGCATTGTCAATGTGCGGGAGCAATTAAGAATTCATCCAAAAAAACCCCACACCGCTGTGCTGCAGAGCGCTTCGTTACGGCCTGTAGCCCAGAGACAATGTACTACGAACTACTGCTACTTGAGGGAACGGCATTGTAATTACAAAAGTGACATCACCACTTCGTTAGCACTTGAAGCCACCGCGGCCACTGTTGGGATTTCGACTGCGAACGGCGAGCGTTGATGGTGTTGTTGTGGTCGTCATCATCATCGTCATCGTCAGCCATGATCGATTCTCTGCTGGATGAAGGATTCCCTATTCCGTCGCCATCTCTCGCCGTCTCGTGATGCAACGACTTCCCACCACCACCACCAACAACAACAACAACAACCACCACCACCACCAACAACAACAACAGCAACCTCACCGCAAGCGCAACCGTCACCACCACGGGTATCACCTCCACACCACATTTCGCCTTTTCACGTATCTCACTTCGTCACCTCTCTCTCTCTCTCTTCCTCTCCCACAATCTGTCACCCCCCACCCACCCTCCACCCTCCCTCCTATTACCCCCAATCCATCCCCGTGTCTCTTGTCGGGTAACTCCAATCATCACGCCGCTCGCAACAATTAAGAATTAACAAGCGGCTCCCAAAGGTTCCCCGGGCCCCCCCAACCCCCACCAACGCCTCCGCGCGCCACCCCGTGGGCTAACCCATGAAAATAAATAAATAAACAACGGAACATTGTGAAGTGAGAAGAGACTACAGGGCCCCGGCTCAGCGGTTCTAGCGTTGGTCGATTCGCGATTGGGCGGTTCCAAGTACCTGCTTCGATGGGGTGTCGATACAACCCATCAGCCCGGTAGGGGCCGATAAGACGGGTATCGCTTCGTGGGGGAGATAGTCACACTGACATGAGTTTGCCCTTTTTGGTATGACTGCCAGACGCGTCATATGAATGTGGAATTTCAGCCAATGGCTCAATGCCAGCTCACCGTCGCTTATCACCGCGAGAGCGATTGACGAGCCCGAGGGGACGTCCCCTGTGGAGATGGAGCGATGGACGCAGCCTGTGCGTACAGCTGCCCGTGGGTGGATCGCTTAACAGAGCTGGAATCTATCGCAGGAGATGGCAGCAGTTTCGGGGAAGGGAGGAAGGGCTTCATCCAGCAGTGGATTGGCCATGGCTGGGGATGATGAAGGTTATCAACATAATACGATAGACAATACGACTAAGTACTATGTTTATACAGAAGCTACCAAGCCACAAATGAACGAAGTGGCCTATTACGCGGAAATGTCTAGCAACCAAATACTCTAAACGCATGCCGATTCTTAACGTGGAGGGGGAAAAAAACCAGGAGGACCCGGATAAAAATCCACGGGACCGCGTGGAGAGAGAGAGAGAGGGACATGCCAACTCCTACCATACAGCAGGCGTCAGGGATCGAACCCACGGCTCTCCTAGTATCCCAGGCGAGGGAGAGTTACCACCTTGCCACCCGGGGCCCCGAAGGTGAGCGAGAACGTGTGCCTTGTTGCAGTGTCTCTGGGAGCGGGGGGTCTGAGTGTAACTTGAGTGTACCCCGTTGCGCCGCGTGTCGCCACGTGATTTCATCGGCCCTGATGAAATTTTGAACAATTAATAACGTGGATGAGGGGAAGGAAGGGTGGGGCAGAAAACATCCCTCAATTAATTTAGCTCCATCCCTTGAGACTGCTAATTAACACCATCATTCTAACAAAGTATTCAGAGATGCATTTAAGTTGCGCGCGTTTCCTTTGCACCGCAAGCCGGGTTTTTAAAATGTAGTTTTTTTTACCACCGCGCGGGTCACAGCACCACAATCACGGTTCCTCTCTGATCCCTCTCGCCTCCCCCCCCACCACTCGTCGGGGGTCTGAGTGTGTCGTCAGGTGAGTGGTCTGTGAGTGATGTCAGCTGAGGGGTGAGTGGTCTGTGGTGCTATCCAACAACAACAACAACAAAGATCCCCCGTATCGCCTGTAACAGACGGTTGGGGTAAGTGCTGTTAGCGAGCATCAGCGAAGGCCGGCACGGCACACGAGGGGGTGGGTGACCAGAGCAACGCTCGGCCGCCTTTGTCTCCCCAGTGGTGACATTTACATACCACAGCAGGTACCCATTTGAGGGCTGAGTCGACCTAGGGGAGGCCCATGACCGGTTCAGATAATCGTCGCTGGTGTTGTTGGCCTCGAGCGGGAATCGAACTCGGGTGGCCGGGTTTCGTAGCGCAGCGCAGCGCTGCCCGCGTGCCCGCGTGTCCCCCACAGGTGCTCGCTACGTGGGGTGATGGCTTCGTATTGTTGGTGGGGAGGAGGCGGCGAGGGCGGCGAGAGGCGCGGGGGCCACGGTGGAGGAGTGAGATCTGTGGAGAGAGTCGGGGGGGGGGGGGCGGGGGGGTCACCGGGGAAATGCCCCTCGCCTTCGTCTGGCCGCATCTGTTGGTCCGTGATGTGTGGCCGTCACCATGCGAGACGCGCTCCCGCAGGATGCGGCACTGCTCGCCGCCAGCCTCCCCGATGATGATCAATGAAACCGTCCGGGGATTGGTGGATGAGCGGCGGCACCCCCCTGCCCCCCCCCCCTGCCCCCCCCTGCCCCCCCGAGGGGCCCGCCGATCGTCGCTTGGCCGTCGCTGCGGGGGTGCGAGGCGTTCCACGTGGGGGTGGGGGGGAAGCCACGCCCATCGAGGAGATGGAGCGATGGAATCGCTAAGGTGGACTGCTGCATCTCGCGCCCAATGGATTGTTTTTTTTTTGCATCAGCAGGATCGCTTCGACAATGGGAGGCGTCCCAGAGGGCGCTTCCTCACGAGGAGATGGAGCGATGGAATCGATAGAATTGGCCCGTGCGAATGTGCTGCGTGGATTGTTGGATCACGCGGGGGGGGGGGGGGGTGAGAGACGGCGATGCCCGTGGCTTGATTTTGCCCGCTGATGACGAAGATGATGACGACGATGATGACGATGATGATGACGACGATGATGATGACGACGATGAGTAATAATTACCCACTTTCCTCGTCCTGTGGATGTACCATATACATCGACACTGGGAATGTGGAATTTCTACGGCTGGCCTGAGGGCCGTCAAGTGGAGCTGAGTGCCGGCTCGACGTTGATTAGAGCAGGGAGAACAA